ACTGCAGTTCAAGTTGTCATACTTCATAAAAGCACTCATGAAGGTAGAGGAAAATAAAGAATTTAAAAGCACAATGATAAGCGGAAATGTACAGGAGAAAAAATGATTACATGGAGAGTTTATAAAGAGTGGATGCATCTGCACCACCAATTAGAACAGTTTTCAAATAGGTTATCATCAGTCTCCAGCCACTGATTCTTAGCGTCTTGAAGATCCCAGTCAGGCAATCTACATATCTATATGTAGCTCACGGTCAAAGACTTGGTGGATTGATCCCAGGTTTTAACTTGACCTCCACTAATCTTTTCACACAGCCCGAATAGCTCAGCGGTAACGTCTCAGACTGCAGCACTGGGTGACGTAGGTTTGAATCTCAGAAGGGAAATAAGTTGCTTGAAGGTTGCAGATGTACCCTGCTGAATGGTGAGTGCCAACTAGCACGAAATCTAGGTCAGGCGGTGCTTCCTGCCGATTGCTTCCAACCATCTAATATCAATCAACAATTCATAGTACAATGCATCGTGATGGCGAGCCACCTAGCATGATGGTCACATTGCAAACGTGACTGATACAATTTAGTCATAAACTCTTTCTTAACTTAATCCTATGTCAGCTAATATTGCTCGAAGGAGAAACTGATGGCTCAGCATGTGTAACACATGTCCTAGCCATCTCAATCGACGCACCATCACAACTTCATCGACTGGCTTTTTATTCTACCTGACATTAAGCCTGCTCTAAATATTACTCGCCGTATTATACCACTCAACACAGGAGATGGAACACAAACACATAGAGTCGAAGACAGCTACCCTTTCCAAGTCGTCCACTTTCAACAGGCATATCTCGTGATCGTAAAGAAGGACGGAGCAAACTGCTGCGTAGTATACACATTCTTTGATCAATAGTTTCATATCACGTCTACGCTGGGGATGACTCAAGTTGGCCCTTTGTGTCTCTGCTGAGATTTCGTCAACATTCAGTCCATCAGGGCTGGTGCAAATTCTCAAATAAGTCAAGTGATAAACATATTCAGCCATTTCATTCCCTATTCTTATACTAAGAGTTAGTGCAGACCAGTCCTGAGTTATCATCTTATTTACATTTCATTAATTTCCAAATTCCCATATACGCATTTAGAAAAAAACAACAAATTGAGGGACTAATTAAAAAGGAATATATTTCTTAGCTCAATTTGTTGTTATTTAAATTCGACAGTAGCAAATTGTATACCAAAAGTAAAAGGTAACACAGACAACCTTCACATAAAAGATTAAATATTTTCTACCTCAGTTAATTTTCCTTTAAGATCTGCATTGGTGAAATGTAATACATAAATAGGTATGCCCAAGTTAATCAGCTATAAAATATCTTAGGTATTAGGTCAAGAAAACTTCTTTGCATTAGGCTTCTTAATTTACAATGCAGAAAAGTTGAATGCAGGACACGTCTCACCGGCCTTTTACCATTTAGTCTCTTAGTAGACGACTTCTAGCAGAATCTCTTCAAATGAAACAGACTCAAAAAATTGTAGAATTTTTAGAATGGGAAAACAAGACAAAGCCCGATTTTGGTTCATGACAGGATTTATCTTGAAATGAATTAAATTATCTTAAACTCATCATCTGAATAATAATCAGCTGATATTAAGTGGATCCATTATTGCAAAAGGTCTGGAAGGAGGGAAAGGTGCCTACTGACTGGAGGAAAGGTTACCTCGTGAAACTACCAAAGAAGGGCGACTTAAGACTCTGCAAGAACTGGCGAGGAATCATGCTCCTGTCGACGCCAAGTAAAATCCTGAGTCGCATCATCCTGGAGAGAATAAAGGACGCACTGGATACAGAACTCCGACCAGAACAAGCTGGATTCAGGAAAGGCAAATCATGTTCTGACCAAATTGCAACTCTACGCATCATCATCATCGAACAAAGCATGGAATGGCAATCAAACCTCTACCTCAACTTTATAGACTTTGAGAAGGCCTTTGACAGCGTTGACCGCGAAGTAATTTGGAAACTACTCAAGTACTACGGCGTACCCAAAATATTCATCAACCTTATTCAACAGCTGTACGACAACGGCACATGTCAAGTGATCCACAACGGAAAACTCAGCGAGGCGTTTGGAGTAAACACAGGAGTCAGACAAGGGTGCTTATTATCACCAATGATATTCCTAATTGTGGTGGACTGGATTATGCGTCAGACAGTGGGAAACGAGAAGACAGGGATATCCTGGACCGACGTGAAGAACCTAGAAGACCTGGATTTCGCGCTTGGATGATTTATGTTTGATGTCACACAAAATCGAGGACTTACAAGCGAAAACCGACAAACTGGTCGAAGAAGCAGCAAAGACAGGACTCCAGGTGAACATAGACAAGACGGAGGTTATGAAAATAACCAACCAACAACAACAGCAGCAACATCCAGCGCCAATCACCATCAACGGGAGGGATTTGAAAGAGGTTACTTCATTCACTTATCTAGGGAGCATTGTCTCAACTACAGGAGGAACGGACGAGGATGTCAAATCGAGAATCGGGAAGGCGAGAAACACATTCATCAACCTGAAACCAATCTGGAAGTCTTCGTCACTCAGCATCAACAACAAAATTCGGATTTTCAATACAAACGTCAAGTCAGTCAGTTCTTCTATACGGATCAGAATCTTGGCGGGTCACAAAGAATATTTCCAACAGGTTGCAGACCTTTATCAACAACTGTCTTCGCTCTATACTGAAGATTAGATGGCCGGAAAGAATCACCAACAAGAAAGTATGGGAAGAAACAAAACAAGAACCAATCGCCGAACAAATATGCAGGAGAAAGTGGAGATGGATTGGACACTCACTGAGGAGGCCGTTGGGTGACATCGCGCGTCAGGCCAACGCTCGAGTGGAACCCGAAAGGGAAGCGGCGAGTGGGACGTCCAAGGGTGACATGGAGGAGATCGTGTGAAGAGGAACTGAAACAGTATGGAATAACATGGATGCAAGTGAAAAGTACAGCAGAAGACAGAAGCAAGTGGAGGCGTGCAGTTGAAGCCCTATGTTCCACTAGGAACCCAAGGGAACAATAATAATATAAATTCATGATGGATTTCCTGAAGTTTAAATTAGTAGTCGTGACCATCAGGGTCTACCAAGTTGAGTATGAGGTTAGTAACTCACGTATGAAATTGGCTGGTAGCATTGCGATGCTGTAGATGGACAGAATTTAGTTTTCATGATTCATTCTATCCCTACCAAGTGGCTGGATGGAATACTTGTCGACCTTACAATATGAAGGTCCTGGATTTGACATCTAATGGGGTCGTAGATGCGTACTAATGAAGACCCCAGACTAGAACGAAGCTACTGTTTAGTTCCCACTGGTTCTATAATCGGTATCGGTTCATGAGAAAGTCCAACATAAAAACAATCAAGTCTGCAGAAACCTAATTTTTGAATATGGTTGAAATTATTTTTGATCTATCCCTAAGAAATAACATTGTCAATGATCGTATGTAGAGAACTATGCTACAACGCCCAATATACTACGCATTATCATTATCATTCTCAATAAATCGACAGTACATTATTATTTATGCAGAAAAACTGTGATCATGATATCACATATAGGAAAAATTCGATGTTATCGATTATGACCTGCCCAAAGGTAATCCTATTGTTGTTGCTTCTTTGATTCAGGTTTGTTGGGGGGGGGGGGGGGTAATATTAGTCGCGTAAGTTATTCATATACTTTATCAGTTAGGAATGAATCGGTACATTCGTAAAATAGGATAAAGGCAAAAGACTAAACGCGTATTCATTGGAAAGCAATTAGTTACTGTGAATAGCGTTAGTTTTTTCCCTTTGATTATATATATATATATATATATATATATACGCATCTTTATTTATTTGAAGAATATATCTTAAGGGGAGAAAATATGTTTGTCAGGTGATTGCATAGTTTTAAATGGTTTGTTATCAAACAGTAGATAACCCTGTCGAAGTAAATGTCAAACAAAGTACTTTTCACCTTTAGACACTGTTAGCCATGGAAACACTCAGAGTTAATTGATGCATTATAAAAGATACATTAAGTGATTTTTTTCCCTTTAGCTTATTTGTTAATTACTTTTTTCAAATAGTAATTTTGCTATCTTTTGTTCTGACTAATCATCTGTATTACGCAATCAAGCATTAAATTACTCCTCGTTAGTGTTATCATTTCTCAGTTAAATGATTTTATTTCGGTTTAAACTTTTGTATTATTGATGTTAATTTAAACAGCTAACGCATAATTTGTTCTCGTGATTATTTTCTTCAGCCTTTTAAATAATGATGATGATGATTTCAAGAATGTGTCCTGAAAACCAGTAGACTGTTAAAATAAGAAGATTCTGAATAAGTTCTGAATACAAGTCTCGTAGACTTGAATCTTATTATTGAAAGTTTTCACTAATACATAGATGTAGTAGTTAAAGATTAGCAAAGAATACAGTCAACTTACTTTCAACACCTTTTTTTACCCTCATATATACAAACACTCTTATCTTAGACTATTGGTTTGAACCAGGTAGGAAGATAGAGACTGTCTGGTGGTTAGGGTCCATGGGATGCTAAGAACCAACGGCTGGAGACTATTAATGATATGACTCAGGATCGTTTTCAATGTTGCACATACATTCACTCTTTACAGTCTCCCATATCCATAAAATCCTCATGATTTTCTGTGTTACTATTCTTTCTCATATATATTCCTACTCATTATAGTTCTTTAGGATTTTGTTCTTTTCTCTGCCTTTGTGTACTGAATAGAGTGTGGTGACTTGAACTGGTGCAGTTCAGTGCAAAGTTCTATGCTGGGACTCAGTCAGTAAGGTAGTCACTGTTAACTTGAATGCATACTTGAGTTTTTTTCCCTATAGTGGTAGACTTGCTATTATACATTCTATTTAACTGAATTTCTTCGTCTTATTTTTGTTCAAAATATTTTATGGCTATAAAGGAGCAAATGAGAAGAGCAATTCAACATATTAGATCACAATTGAATATTACCACTGAAGATGCTACTGAACTGACTGCTGGTCTAAGTCATGTACTGGATTCAAATTCACCTAGATTACTACTGCCTTATTCTCAAACTCATAGCAAGACTGGAGAACAGCAGAGCCCACTCCATCAACAATCGAACCAAGAACGTCAACAGCATAAACAACCGACTATTAACTACAAGACAACAATGGATATTAAATCACCTTCTAGAGCTACACTGCCACCACCTGCACCATCTAAAGAAAGCTTTCAGCCACCATATCTTCGTGCAACAGTACCAATAACAACAACGACAACGTCGGTAAGTATTAAACCCAGTGAGAATAGTCATCCATTGAAAAATGTGAAAACAGAATTACAGCAACCAGTAGCTACTCAAGGTGCTGAACAACTTAGAGAGTCGAACACATTCCCAAGTCGAAGTCATAATATACCGGAAGTTGATAGGAGCTTGAACCAAATGCCTAAAGATCCTTCTACGTTATCAGCTAGGAAACAAATTCTTTCATCAAGGTAAGAATAACATTTCGCAGAAAGAACTACGTTAAGCAACTTAATTTCAAATATCCAAAAAATTCGTTTGATAAATTTTCTAAGTTAAACGATAACTTGATTTTCCGTCAGGAAAAATGTTAGCTTTCAGTTCCGGATCCTCAGAGTCTTAGAATTTAGTAGTTAAACATGTCTTAGTTGAAGTAATTTGGTGGATGGTGACTAGCAGCGGAATCCAGGACGCGCATTTCGTTCTGTTTTGAACTTGTTATTCGGATGCACTTGTATTCCCCAGTGAGTGATTGTTCTCGCACCGAGGCTCGAACCCAGTGCCCATAGGTTCAAAGCAGGTAAATCTAGATGACGAGTCCCAAGTAGGAAGAAATGCACATTCTGAATTCCACTGCTAGTCACCATCCACCAACTGACTTCAAGTTACATGACCAGACATCGTCGAAGCATCTGCACAAGCGGCCGATATGTCAATTCGAGACCAAGCACTTCGGTCCAATCGATCGACAGGAAAATCTAAATTGAATTTAAAAAACGTCTTATTTGCATTATGATACTCTTCCTTTAATTAGCATTTTCCTTGTTTTATATATACATATATCTTTATCTTTAGTTCTATTCTTTCACCTCACGTTTACTTACTAATGTGAATAATGGTAACCTGAAGCGAGATGGAGTTAAGCTAAACTATACATTGTTTATTCTTGTCTACAATGTTATGAAATTCGGCAGTTTGAAATATTGCACCCCGACCATGCACATGGTTCGGGGTTCGATCCCCTGCCGACGCACACCTGATATCTATGGTAGGCCTGCAAAATTTGGGCTACCGATATCACATGCTGAAAATTCCATACTTGTACCAAAAAATACGGTGTGGAATCAAGCTGTAATAAAAAAATTCATATTTTTGTCTATTCTTGTTTTGATTATGTAGTCGACTCGTATTATTTACTTCCTACTTGATATGTACGATATATGAACTGTAAGATAACCACACGGAAATAACTTCAAGCATTATGATGTTTGAATTCTCCATGAATGATTATATGATTGTATCTCCTGATAGCCATTATCGTGATTGGTTGTTAATTTACATCTTTATTGATCATTTTTATTGACATGGAATTTGGACTTTCTTGTCATATGATTTATTTTTTTATTAGTTGGTAAATTCATCTGAGTACCAGGCTTCCAGGAATTCCCTGACATTTTTGATGTTTCCTCTGTATGAAATTTCTACATTTCCCAATCAAATTAATGTCCATAGTTGTCTACATGCATTGATATGAAAGAATGGATGTTGTGTCTTTTCACAGCTAATTTAAGTTCGTGGATTCTGATTCGAACAGGGCGCCCACTTTGATCAGTAGTGTTTATCGCAATTTATTTTTTAAATGGTACTGATCTTGTCTTCTTTTGCTGTTGGATCCTTTAGTCTTTCCAATGGAGTGATTGTGCTGGCTTGTGTGCCATATTCATTTCAAACGGTCTTAGCATTCTAGCAGTTATTTTCGAGATGTTCTTCATATATGGTAGGATGAATTTTCTTGTAGCCTCTGATAATGGTTTCTTGTTGGTGTTATGACTTGAGTTTAAAAACTTTTTGATGAAATTGTGTGGGTATTCATTCTTTTTGAAGACAGTTAGTAGGTATTTTCTTTCCATTCTCTTCAGCACTGAAACGCTTTAGTTTTTTTGATCTCATCTAAACAATGTCTGCACACAGTTTATTTTGTGAGTTATTGAATTGTTGCTATTATAGCTGAGTATGTGATATATGTGTATTGATTTTCTGTATACTTGTGTTTCCAAAGTCCCGGTATTTGTTCTCCTGATTAGGACATCTAAGAAAGGAATTTTGTTGTCTAATTCTTCTTCTCTTGTAAATTTAATGTCTTCAGATATGTTGTTGATTAATTTGTGGGTGTATTCCAAATCATTTCTTCTAATTATTACGAATGTATCATCAACATAGCGTACCCAGATTTTTGGTTTGATTATGGATAGAACCGTTAATTCTAATCTTTGCATAACGGTTTCATCTAATAATCTTCATATGGGCAATCCCAACGGTGCTTGGAGGCGATCGGTAGAGAGCCTTCGACTTAGATTTCTTGCTAGTTGGCACTCACCATTCAACGGGGTACATCTGCAACCTTCAAGGAACTTATATCCCTCCTGAGATTTGAACCCGCGTCACCAAGTGTTGCAATCAGAGACGTTACCACTGAGCTGTTCGGGCTTTGTGAAAGAGTTATGGGAGGTCAAATCAAATCCTGGGACTAATCATATATCTGATTATTGAATTGGAAATATGGAATATTGTAAGGCATAATTCTATGAGTTCCATCCAAGCTGAACGCTGCTTTTGTGTGCTCATTGTTATAGAGTGGTTGTTGCATAGTTTCTTTTGCTAGTTTTATGCTGATTTGAGTATATAACGCTTGCACTGAAGCTGTTGTCTAGAATGATAATGAAAGTTTTGCAATTAAATCAACCAGCTCAGAGAACACAAAAAAAAATCAAAATTGACCACGTGAGCTACAAATCTCTATCACTTCAAATACGTAACTCCCGGCAATATCTGAGTAGCAAGAGAATGCGAAGATTAGTTAGTCAGTTTAATGTTTTCGTCTAATAGTTTTCATGCTCAAATTAATTTGTTTAATGAATTTTGTGTGAAAAGGATATTTTTTCTACGCAATGTATGTTCACATATGAGTGATTTAGGCATATCTATAATGTCACTGGATAGTTAATTATTTAAAGCATGATTGTTTTCTGAAATCACATTTGTTTTACAAAGAACCATATCTAAGTATAAAAAAATACCCCCCGATCTTGGAATGCCTGTTTACAGCATTTAGTACACTAGTTGTTTGAATATTTATCTTTACTGATGGTATTATTAAATCATATCGATTTGTACAGTTGATACAAAAGGCTGGTTTGGCATTTGCCAACTTTTATCGTATTTGGTATCCAGCCATCTATCAAAGTGCATGTGTGCTGTACAACGGTTCTCCCCATCACCTGTAAGACATAGTCGTTGAAGTTTAAAGTTATGCAGAAGATAGTCATTTTTGACTGTAGGTGTTTGCGTTAAATAGTGAAATGTTCTGCGGTGATGAGGCTAGGTGTTGATTGTTGGGTAGAAGGGAAAGTCAGTCAATGCAGTTGTGAAGCTGGCCAGGATATGTTTTACGCATATCTCGATGAGCGGCTGAAATAGGACTAGGATAGAGAAGTGTTCGGGTTGGTCAAATGAAACTGTGAAAACAGGAAGCCTTTGACGATTAGTTTGAGCCAAGTACGGAAGTGCAGATTGCTTGTCTGAGGTCGTCAAGAAGCTACGAATCAACTGGAATGGCAAAAGTTTAGGAATAATCTGAGCAGTTTGTTTGAGTTCTCGAAACGTCTTTCTTAACTGGGATTGATGAAAAGAAACAATCATTCATTAGATTAGAGAACCATTGGAAAACCTGGGAGTACTGGACAGCTGTTTCGTCCTAGTTTGGGACTCTTCATCAGTACGCACCCACCGGGATTCGAATCCAGGACCTTTCGGTTACATGACCAGCTCGTATACCATTAAGCCACTGGGACCCGATTCAATGGCCCATGAATTCTAACTTCTGCCGATTTATGACATAGCCCGACCCCTAGCCAATGTCTTCGGCGAGTATTTGTCCCCACACCCGACCTGCTGCACCCTACTGGTCAGGACTTCTCACTAGAACCCCAGGTAACTACCTACCTGAATAGGGCAAGTCGATAGTGAGCATCTCATTGATATTCAAGTGTCGGTTTGTAGGGATTTGATTGGTTACAGGATTTTCATCATGAGCTGACATTAGTTGTTATACGAACTGGCCTTGTAACCAGAAGGTCCTGGGTTCGAATCCCGGTGGGTGCGTACTGATGAAGAGTCCCAAACTATGACGAAACAGCTGTCCAGTACTCCCAGGTTTTCCAATGGTTCTCTAACTAATGTCAGCTCATGATGAAAATCCTGTAACCAATCAAATCCCTACAAACCAACAATTGAAAACAATCATTCTGCTTGAGATCGAATTCGAATAAAAGCATATATAGTTTAAAGGACAGAAAAATAAAATCATATCGTGAGTGTAGTGTAATTAGATTCCTAATAAACATTAAAGATAAAATATACACTTAGGAGGTGAATTCAGTCATACCAGTACTACTACTAATAATAATCACGACAGGCAGCCAAGTCAACCCAGAACTCCATAAAAGATTGGATCCGTACAATTTAATGGAAACAGAAAGTGGCTGTACTATAATAATAAAACAAATCGATTGGATTTGACAGGAAGAGAAATTCCCTACAGTTGAATGTAAATTACACTTCAGGACTACAGAATGAGACCGCGATTTACACGCCAGAATGTCAAGGGTATTTCGTATGGAGTAACAGCAACGGATGCTCTATCATTTCAATGCTTTAAATTTATTCAATGAACTGATAGCTGGCTTCTGTTTCTTTGTCTAACTGTGAAACCTGAGGATAAATCAAGTAGAATGTCTGTTTTACTTTTGAATTATGTTTTTTTTATAGGTAACATTTAACAAAAATATTATTGAATAACGAAGAGTTCATGTTATTTGCCTTTAGCCTTAAGCATATGATTCATTCATATTTTTTGTTACAAAGTCAGTCGGTACACAACTATATCAGTCTGCATATTAACCCAACTAATTAACTGTTCCCATAAAATATTTCATGGTTATTAAATTATTTGCACATGTTGACTTGATTAAATTGTAACAACAGAAGACAAGGGCCAGGCAACAGATCGTTTATTAAGGAAATCAAAGCATATTTATATATTTTCATGTACATTATTATAGTTTAGTTAAACAAACAAACACAGTCTTCTGATTGGTTGTTTCTCACTTAAAGTTAATCTTCCATCTCTTTGTGACTGTTTCTTGACTGTCAGATCATCTATATGTTAACTGTATCCGCCTACACAAAGTCT